GTTGTGTACGTCTGTGTGCTGTTTGCGCAGAAGAAATAGCGTTCTTAGTCAGATACATTACCAGTTTTAACATTGTCTCATTGGGCATACTCTGAATTGATTATTTTGTCGCGAGAATTGGCAGTTCATATAACAAATTTTCTTTACAGTTTTCATCATTGTTGGCAGTCCACTTTGCAGACTCTCAACAATGCATGTTACGGATTTTCCCATTATTGAGTTTTAATACGTGAAATCAAAAACTTGTGTTGATCTGAAATGTATCGTTAACACAGGCCTGCACATATACACAAACAGATATGCATGCATTCATCACACATGCGAGACTTTGTATCGGGGTCATGTCAGTATACTTATTGACTGTACGGACGTGGTTCGATTCCCGGAAGGGCCACAAGTTCTGCCCGGCCGAAGATCGTCTGAATATTATTTATGAATTCAGTCCGTACCGCGAAGAAAACACTACACCTCACCATTACGAAAATCAGCTGGTTAACCCTTTGAAGCCGAAGCTCGTCTTCATAATATTTTACGAATCCAGACCGTACCGCGAAGAAAACACTTCACTTAACCATTAGAAGTCTAATCAGGCGGTACCACATAAGATTTAACATCCCGGTCAAAGCCTTAACGATAAAACACAAACACCAGTAGGTTTCAACAATTTCTGACAGCTGAACATCGGTCTGCGACTCACGTTTTAAATCCGACCAATCATATTACACAATCGCACTGCGTCGCCGCGAACTGGCCGTCTGTCCACTCTGAATGCGCAGTGCAAACAAAATACCCTAGCGTACGACAGATGTTGTTTATGCGGAGCCGATGAGGTGCTTAATGGAAAATCAAACAGTGGCTTCCGTTTCGGTTTAACGTCACGCGTACTTCAGATCGCTTCACGTAACGAAGCAACAGTTAATGTAACGTGTTAGGTATGTAGGATCGAATGTGTATTCGGTATGACACTTAGGTGTTTTCATATAGGGTATTGGCTGTTGTGACGATTTATAATTGAACTCCATTCTTCAGGACAGCTATTGTTGTAGATGGCGCACAACATTTAGTCACGGAAGTGTTTTATAAGATGCTGAAAGCAGTAAAGTGGTAGCATGCAGTTATATACTTCCTGTGAAGAACCGAGATACTTCAAGTGTGGCTCCTTATGAAAACTACGAAGTGAGTAGGAGGTGGGGAAGACAGGTTAATCTCTCATACTTAATGTCTTGTCTGCCCCTCCCTCGCTCCCTCCCTCGCCGTTGATAGCGTGGTAACCCACGAACCCCCTTTTTGAGACATAGAAAAGTGTAGGCTAACTGTCGTCATGGTAGCGGAACTCACAAGCATTGCCTCTGCTGTTGCTAACAACAACAGCCACAAACAAGTGACGCACGCGCCTCGCTGGATACAGGCGGCGACGAAACCCAGCGTTCACAGGTACCAGTGCTCGTCGGACCAGCCCATGTACACGACGGTCTCGAAACCAAAAGACGCCAGCGAATCGACAGGCCGAGGGAACGGGGGGGATGTAGCGGGGACCACGGCAACGGACCCCGTGGGACTCCTGTCCAGACGAGGGATTGTGGGGCTCGTGGGGCCGTACCGCGCTAGCAGTGACGGGTTGGACGCGATGGGGACCCGCGATCAGAGGGCGAGCACGAGAGGAAGTGAAGGGAGGATTTTCGTGCTACGAGACGAAGAGCTAGTGGAAGAGGGCGACTACAACGAGCCTTCGCGAGTGTGTCTAGCAGAAAATTCGAGGAAACGGCTTCCTGAAGATGACAGTGTTTCGGATGCAAGTCCGACTCCGGGAAGGGAGAACTGGAAGCTCCGAGAGGGAAAGAACTTGACGGGTGACGCAAGGGGAGAAGCGGGGGAGAGGGGAGGAGTGTCCCTGACGGACGTGTGGCACAAGGACTGGGGCGGTAAGTCTTTTGTTTGTTTGTTTGTTTGTTTGTTTGTTTAATTTTTGAATGTCTCGTCTGTGCTGAAATGATAATTACGTCAGGCACGATTCTCGCTGTTTTACGTGTTTCTACGTGTTGTGTGTGTTCTGTGAGCGATCTCTCGCTACGCCATGTCAAGTCATCTCGATACTAATCGATTTACCACTCGCTGTCAAAATGTAGAAGTGTCGTTTACGTTTAATTTATATTTAATTCCAAGATCGGAAATTAAGCAGAATTTTTGTCGTATCACGACGATGCATTAAGTAAATTAATGAGTTTTCACAGTCGTTTGGGCCCAAAACAATAGGAATTTTGTTCACCCACCACAAATATGAAGAAGGAAATAAAACCAGTTGCCGAAACTGCGTGATCTTAATTAACAGAACGCACTCAGAAAAGTAGTGAATTCCAGAGAATAAAATGATTTGTAGGAATTTAGGTTTTCATGTTGGCAGGTCTGAAGATGGCTGTCTTCTGGGTTGTAGCTCCGTGTAGTCTGGTAGAAGTTTACCGGCATTTCGGAGGTCTCTGTTGCTTCCATCATCAGGGCGATGACCTTGGTAAACTTCTACCGGACTACTCCGCGCTACAACCAAGAAGACGGCCATATTTATACACGAGTTTTTCCTCCTGACATCTCTCTGATTCAGAATCAACTTCTAAAGCAATCAATAAGTGGGATTCATTGAGTCTGAAATCGGTTATACGTCCTCTGGCGAAATTCGTGGTCCAGTGGTCGTATTCTGAAGACCTGATGTTCAAAACTCGGTCCTGAAATTGGCTGTTTTGGCGAAGAGGCTTTGTGAAATTATTGAGTAGGCAGATTCCGCCAAAAACATTTCAAATTAGGACACAACCGCTTCGTTCCACATCCATTTCTGTTAATTAATCACTAATCATTTCATGATTTGATGTTTTATAATCTGAGATTTTGGGATCGTCGGAAAGTATAATGAAGCAACGTTCTCGGCCGTCATGTAGGGGACTGGATTCGAACCCATAATCTGTGTTTTCATTAGGCTCAAGGCTGGCGCGGGAAATTTGATCTAAATTCATTTGTTCACGAACTACAGGAGCGTCACGTGACCCCATTGAAGTCAATCGCGTCGTTTTAAGGTACATTTTTCTGAAGGGGCACAAAACCCTTAAAGGTCGTGAAATCTGACGTATTTTTTTTTCATAGCTACTTATATGTAAACAGTTTTTTTTCGAAGGAGACTGATTTTTTACGTAAATACGTCTATATTTTAGGGTCAGTGTCATTTTGCGAAAAAGGGAAACGAAAAAGTTTAAGAACAATTGTTACCTAGGAAACGTCAATTGTTTACTCGGCATTGTTGTTACCTGTAAAACATTACATTACATTACATTCATCTACCACAGACCCATCTTAAGCGTAACTAATTCAGGTTAAATAAGCAAAGTCTTAATCAAACATTACTCAATTGTAAAGCATGTATAAAGGAAATATTTAGAATAAAGCCAATATTTAAACTTCATTTCCGTATACACGTATTTACGTCAAATTCTCCGGAACCGTGGTTCCACTGACAACTTTTTAAAAGACAGTTCTTCCTAGTGACGTCAGTCTGCCACCGAGACGTGCATTCATTAAACAACAGAAGACTTGGGCCGTCTTAAGTATTTCTTAAGTAAAACACGTAGGTATCTCTACGTGCAAATCCACACGTGTCACACCCAATGAGACCAAGATGGACGTCTTCAGAACGTCAAGCGCTTATTCGCTCGAACATAATTCGCATTTCTGCCACATCGGCGCTGTTAAATGTCGTGTGGATCATGGCCCCCAGTGTTTTGCCAATCACATCGACTTTCGTAGGGAATGGCCGGTTTATTAAACGTTTTAAAAGTAAAAACCAGCCACGGGAACGCAATTAAGAATAGGCAGGCTTAGAGTTTGTTACGCGAAATGACGTCGGGCGTTGGATTCTCGGGACATTTTTTAGTGCTTTGTAAAGAAATGGAAATCCAGGAGAACAGCCGAGCATCGTGAGTGCAACACACGGTAATGGCCGGAGGATTGGCAGTGAAGCTCGCTGGGCCTGCAACGCATGTAATGAGCAGTGGTTACCGATATTCTGACACGGACGGCTGTTTCCAGAAACAGACCGGAGCAAGACATTCACCAGCTGAGGAAGGAGGGGACACTTCTGTTTATTTTTGCAGGAAATGGGGTTTAATGCTCACTGATGTGCGGTGTAGCCGCCATTAGATGGCCATTAACCCGCGTAATCGTTTTTAATAGTGTACGTTCAACTTAGGAGAGAAAAATACCAAAAGAAGCACCTAGAATATATATTTATGAAATACATCGGATGATGTTTAATTTTCGCTCTAAACGAAAAAGAGACGCTGCTAGACCACGGAATAAATGGAAGGATCAACTCGAATAACGTTTAGATCCAAAGGCGTGTAACACGTAATTGGATTAATAGATACGCTGGTGTTACGTTCTGTCACGTAAATTAAGGAGTATTGAAGAACGGAGTGTGTTATTAAAACGGATAATTTTTGTAGGCTAAAGGTATTGCCACGCTGGCCTTGTAATCCTGGGGTCTCGGGTTCGAATTTATAACTTGTGTTGGGCAAGGCCGTGGTCTAGGCAACACGGAGTTTTCCTCCGTGGCATCCCAACAATTACTCCATTCACACACAGAAGAAGGCAATGGCAAACCACTGCTGGATCATCTGCCAAGAACGTATATGAACAGGCCCCAGTCCGAGAAAAGGATGGAAGGACCCTGTTCATATGGACCTGTCGTCAGACAGAACACCAAATAAAATACCATATAAAAATCCCTTCATTTCCCATGATTGCCACTTCAGCCCTTAAGATGGAGAAGGTATGTTTAAACTACGAGTCTAACGGCGTCGAAACCCAAAAGAACATAATTTTTCTAACCTACGTGTGAACCTCGGTACTGATTTCTAATCTTTATGTAGCGGGAGATAACTCATTGACACCCTACCCTCTTTATACAAAATGTGTGATGGTGATTGTAATTTAATATAATGAAAGTACCTTGAGCTGCTTTTGATGTGCTGCTCAATTAATGCGATTCCGCGCAATTTAGTTTACTTTGCAGGGAACATACATTTTTCGTGTGGGTACGTGATGTGTAGCTACAAATTATGCATTTGACAGTAACTGCCAAGATGTGACAACGTACGTCAGTATCGATACATTTTACCTTCAGAGCCTAATTTTGTCACATTGACTGCTGACTATCCAGGATACGTGTAGAATGTGAATTTTATCAGAATTTAAAATTCTCGTTTTTACGTTATCATCGCATTTATCTCTGCCTTCGAAGCAGTCGCTTTATGAAACGTTTCCACACAAAATTTGGTACAGTTACGTCTCTTCGGTACACGATTCATGTCTTTAATTAACTAAACTGACATTAGGATACTGTAATTAGCGTATAAACGACAAATTTCGCTGTTTTTTATCCGTTGCCAATTTGTCTCCTGCGCTTTGTTTTAATGTGGTTGGAAGTAGAGTCCGTCCTTCACAGTTAAAAATGTGTTTCTCAGGAATTCAAAGTGGCCGAAAGTGAAGGAACAGGCCGTATCTTTAACGTTTTACAAAACAACATTCTTATTTTCTGAAACAAAGTTGACATGTTAAATTTATTTGCGCTCTGTGCCGCAGAAATGTCTGTGGAGGGGTGCGGGGCTCCTCCGTAAGATTTGTAGGTACATAAGAAAGATATATATACATACAGTGTGCCCAAAAATATGTATACACATTTTCAGCGAATGAAATAAAGACATTTTAATAAACTAAAATATTACGTACGTCAGAATTGGCACTTGGTGAATCTGCGAGTCTATTGTGGTGTTTAAAATGACCACCTTTGGCTTCGTGGCGCTGTTGACAGCGGTGAATAACCGACTGGCAAGCGGTCGCCAGAGTTGCTGTTGTGTGCACGTCTTTTTTGGGACACACCGTACAAAGAAAGACGAAAACTGGTAACCCGTGAGTTTGCTGGGGCCATGTTATGAAATGTGAGTGGGCTAAGATAAATTATAGTTCGCCGTGCAAAACGTGATAAGTGAGTTACTACCATTGAAGACTGGTATTTGTAAACTCGTTATGAAAGAAAGGGTCCATTTACTATTAATATGTTTGGAAACGGGAAACTGCGTGAATAAGCATGCAGTATAAAAAGTTTTTTTTATATTAATGAAGACGTAGCTTAGAAGGAAGGAATAAATTTTACTATTGCTGTAGAATTCAAAAACAAAATCAAATTTAAATGGGAGAATATAATTGATTAAATATAATTAAACATTGGGCAATGGGGCATAATTACAGTTATAATAATCAATATTTTATAATTAGCGAACAACAGCGCTCCACAGTTGTGGACGGCAAAAACCAATATCAGGTTTACAATGTACAGAGCTAAACTTTATAAGAGTTTAAAAATATAAATCTTCAGTAACAGTAATTGGTTTGCTATTTGAAATTCTATCACGAAACAGATATTTAAAAAGTGATTTTGTTTCTTGTACGTCCATATTTATCTTAATTAACAGTGTCATATTTAAATGACAGAATTAGTCAGTTTATTTATTAATGTAGTAATATTTTCCCCTCAGTCCAGTTAGGCGATCACTGTGTTAGCTTTGATTTAGTAAAATCATTTTTAAATCGTGTTTCCGACTTTGTGTCTCCTGCTCCGTGGAGATCTTTACTAAGAATATAGACTCTTAACGGAAAACACGGATCCACGAGCTCAGTTACGAATAAGACTCATTTCATTTACCGGAGTTCGTGGCACTGAGGTCAGACCCGTTAGGATGACACGTGGAATTTTTTTTTAACATATTCAGCCTTCAGTTCAGCGTCTGACAACTCTTTATTGATTTCATAAACGAGCATTACCGCCGATCTCTTACAATAGATAACTTGTTATACCGATGTAAGGTGAGACAGCGAAATCCATTGAGCTGTTACTTTCTGATTTCTAAACAGCTGTACGGACGTCTCTTGCCTGTAATGACAGGAGACTCGAATCTTCTTATCTGATTTTCACGTTTCGGTCTTGTCTTCTTCATGTTCGATTCTTATCATCTGCTTATTTGCCTTTAACCAACTTTCAAAAGGACTTTTGTGTTCTCGCTGAACCCGGTTCGAAGATCATGCCATTGTAGGTCACTACGAAAAGAAATATTGAAAGTAATGGTTTCCAATATGGCTGCTGCGCGAATGTCTGACGATCCGCCTGTCTGTGTCCAAAACCACGAAATCTCCTTTAATTTCGGTCAAACTCGTGATGGAAAAAGAAATTTTGTTAATAAAACTTTATTTTGTATTAATTTTGTTGATTTTAAGTACCGAGTTACTTGGTGCTTCATTAAAATTGACATTTGCGTGTGTATTTAAACCCGAATGGAGTTTATTTTATTAAATTTTAATTTCAGGATTTGTAGATTCGAGTATTATCAAGAAATCAAGAAACTCGTTCTTGACACATTTTCTGTTTGTAAATAAAAACACCTAAACCAAAAAATTATACAATTTTGGAAAAATTCAACGATACATTCATCGTTCATCCACTTTTTCCTTCAGTGAAGATTTTCTGTGTCATGGAACCGGCCCACAGACGAGAAATTGTCGATTCGTTTGTCACAGGAGAATCTGGAAAAGTACGCCCGAAGTAATTCTGCCCTCGTACTTCGGTTGTTCAAAGACAATTGACGGCCTGAGCGCGAGATGGTTACATCACGTGACCTGCGCTGGTCCCTCGTATAATCACAGCGATAATACGTGTTTATTATTTATTATTTCTGAAGTGTTTCTCACTCTGACCGTGTACCGGTCCATGATGAAGGAACATTTGCCTTCGTTAGAATTATTGTTACATTCCTTGATTCGAGGATGATTTTGTATGATATTTTCAAAATAAACCAGGAAGTAACCCAGCACTGGTAAAGCGAATTACTACGCCATTGATATCATCTTCAAATTTCCACTCTCTGGAAGATAAATAAGCCATTACACTCCGTGGATCATCGGCGTTCTGGACGATTATAAATGTACAATCCACTGTCACTTTTTAGCTCACAGTTAGAATTACACCATTTGCTTTGTTTCAAACTTTTGTTTAGTACATTTTCTGTTTTTAGATACTTTAAAACATTTCGTTGTGGGCTTTGGGGTAACTCAGACGGAGAAGTGTTTCACTTCTGACTAGATGATTGGGGGTTCGATTCCCGCTTGGCGGCAGGGATTTTTCTTCAAGTCTCTGCGTCAAGTCCGGTCCTGAGGTCCACCCAGACTCGTGATATGACTGACCACGTAACGCCCCTCCCAAGCGACTGAATGGCGCGCATCGGGAAAGTTTTGCCTTTGAATTTTTTTTTTTTGATTTATTTCGTATTCAGTGTTCGTCTTATTAATTTAATTTTCGGTGAATGTAATAATTATTTTATCTTTTTATATGATTGTCCAGTTTGTTACTTTAATATACAAAGCGAATAATTCTAGGATATTACAAATTTTTGTGAAATTGACAACAAATGACGCATTAGTCATAAATACTGAAGACTTATTAGACAAAATGATTTGCGAAAAATGAATTTTGATGTATTTTTGATGCGTAGGTGGTCATGATTGAACGTTTTAATGTAAATATTTTGAGTTTATTGAAATGTTTCACTCTAATTGACAATTTTAAAAAGGTTGACTCGCGGTAGGCATGTCAGCTTTACTGCCGGGATATATCTTAAACGCACGTACAAATTACGTATAAAATTTTATTTGTAAGGAAGTAATTACGAACAGATGTCTCCGAAATTTTGAGTTTAGGATTTGTGCAGAAAGCAGATAATATTAAAAAGGTGGAACATCACGTGGACTCGATCATATGACCGCGTTCGCTAATGTTTATGCCAAATGGATTTGAGTTTTTATTTTTTAATATTTTAATATTTTCCGTCAAATCACAATTTTAATAAGATAATAAAATATAAAATATTTAAAATATCATTTCACGTTCCGCATCGAATGATCTATTTACAAATCGGAACGTCTCTTGAGTTTTTGTCTTATGAATGCACTGTACCTAAACGTAATGTTTATTTTAGACTATAAATCTCTGCAATTGTGGGCTTTTAAGTAATGCTGTGTTTACAATCTTATGATTTATTAACATTCTCAAATCAAAATTTTATTTACGCTCCTTTTCCGAGTTCCGCCAACAGATGTCAGCGCATTGGCCAAATTGTGTACACATAAAATCCTGTCCCATATCCGAGAACCCAAAAGTAATGCGTCATATGATCTCGTAGAGATTGGCCGACGTTTCAGAGGTGCTTACGACTTCCAGTATGTATTTACCTTTGCTGGGGCAACATGCACGTCTGAAACGTCGTTGACAGAGAAGTCATCCGAGTTCATATTCTTCGCCGTGGGAAACTGATAACCTGCGGTGTCACGTGTGACGTCGTGCCTTCCAGCTGACGTGCCCGATTATATCTGTGTTGGGGTCGCTGAAGGTGCACAAGATGGCGTTTCGATCAGTCCTTCAGACGTGACAATAATTTGAGATTTTTCATTTGATCTCACGTTCCTCAGTTTATCGGCGTTGAAGATAATGACAGGCCTCGTCTTGGCAAAAGATTTCATTTGCACGGGGCAGTAATTTTATGATTTCACAGGACTGTAAAGTGGTGGAATATTTTGAGTAAACTTCCTCATAGACGTGATCGTGTGGAAAAGAAAAATTGTATTTTTCTTCAGGAAATATGATTTCAAAAAAACATAAAATTTCAACTGAACGATTACTTAGTCTTGTTCTTATTCTAGATACAAAATTGCCTGAAATAGAAAATACTCTCTCAGTGGCTATTGAACTTGGTTTCATCGTTTTCATTGCATCAAATAATGAATCCAAATTCTTTGTTCTTTTATTGGTTGTCTCAAATACTGAAAATTCGGCCTTCAGCGTCTTCGGATTTGATATTATTTTTTCAGGTTCCTCAAGAAACCTATGAATTGATTTTTCTGATTAATAGTTCCTCCGTCTCCGATATATTCATCATCGGAATCTGTTTCCATACAAGAATTTGGATATATTCTAGATAATATTTTTCCAGATAACTTAGTAATGTCGAGTTTTGAAGCTAGTGGAAATTCACTAGATTTCTTTGTTGAAATGTTTTGTGGATTTTGCAAATATAGCAAAAGGCCGGTTTTCGAATTTTACAAATTTATCCCAAAAAAAAACCCTGTTTTTAAAAACCGACAAACCCTATTTAACAGGTCCTTGCTGCTTCATGTAGGCTGTATGCAGTTAACACATCTGAAACGTCGATAAACTTCTACCAGACCACGCGGCGTAAGAAATAATAATATAAGGTTCAGGTGTAATTCTGTGAACGAGGAGATGTTAACGCCTTTGCTGTCCAAGTGATGATTAAGGAAAGTTTTCCGACTTTTTGAAGTCTGGTGCGTATTTTAATGTTCAGGCAACTCGTCGAAGTTAACACGTGTTATGTTTGTATAAACAGAGTAAAACCACGAACCTAATTCAAGTGACTTGGTTTTCAGTTACCTTCTCGGGCTACAGAATTGTATTTATTGTTTGAGAAGATTTGCTTGGTTTCAGTTACCTTCTCGGACTACGGAATTGTATTTATTGTTTGAGAAGATTTTTTTAAAAAATTATAACACTCACCAGTACCAAGTTTTATGAATATCCGTTCAGTTAAATACCGACAGTCGGAAATATACACGCGTATTTATTTTGTAAATTTTATCTAGGAATGCATGTAAAAAAAGTTTTTAATTATATATTATTAAAAGTCACTTAAAATGTCTAAATTTTAATATTTACATATTCAAGATCACTTACATACAGTACGGATCGCGCGGATTTGCACCAAATTTGGTTAAATCATAAGACTGTACGCGCGTCAGAGTCCGAAATGACACACATGTGGCTTTCGAAGTGTCACTTGAGAAAAACTGGTACACTCATCGTGATCGCTAGCTGAAGTGAAATCAGCTAAGGTAATTTATATGCTAATGACGCACTGAAGAAACTCTCTCCTTCTCCAGATGCCCCGTCCTTCTATCTTCGCTTTTAACAGCATTTCTCCGTACCTCGTTTCCCTCCAGCGCCGCAGACGACAACAGAATCTCGTCTTCTTGTTTGGAAAAAGGAGAAATGTGGAACGTCGGAATGAGACGCGTGTTCAATAACGAGGCCAGGGCGAGATTCTCTCTGTCTGTGTGTGTGTGCACAGGGGAAACTTCTGTCCGTAATGATCTACATTATTCAACCGTTTGGATGCAGTCTTAAATCGTCACGGACTGAGCTCGGTATTCTGTGATTCTGTGAACGAAAGTTGTCCACTGCGAGAGGTTTTATACATTTCTTATGCCTTACTTGGTTCAAAATAAATATAATTGTTTAAATTTATTGGCGATTGTGATTATTGGTGATTGAAAAACATTAATATTGTTACATGAAAGTTTATAGTGCACGTTAAAGAGGAGTTGTAAATGATAGATTGTTTCTGTTCCTTTAACTGATCGACTTTGTGATTCGTTCTGCAACTTGAGTTTCCAATTTTCCCCACCTGAAGCGCTGCACCCGCGAGTATCGAGTGAACACAGTCCACAACAGTCGACAAAACGGCGTTCCAAAGGAACTTATATTACGACAGTGATTATGAGGAAGGTAAGACATACGAAAATATTTGCTGTTCTTGTAATCATTGCTTGTGAGTTTTGTATAAATGCACCTGAAGATGGTTCATTGAAAACCGAAACATGTCGTGAAAAAGATGATGCTCTAATTGTAAATCGAACATTTCGATGAAAGAGCATCATTTTAATATATTTTAATATATTTTAAATATTTTAAATATTAAATGTTAATTGTAATAATAATATTTTATTATTTTAATATTTAATAAAATATTTTATTGTGATTAGACGGTTATAATTAATCAATTATAAATGCGAATCTAAATTAATTGGATGACGTCACTTCGGGCGTGAAAGGTACTGACAATTTGGCACGCCGCCTGGATTTATGTTTATATTCGTGATTCTTACCTGAACGTGTTTAAGAGTTGGGATGCCCTGTACGTCGTTTTATTTATGTAATATTTATTCTTTAATGTCGTCAGGACATGTAGCACGAATGTCGACAAGAAATAAGCACATTTCGAACGAAAAAGACGATTTGCGAGACCAAGAAGTAGATGGCACTGAATTAAAAATTATTTTAACGCATGGGGGCGTGGCTATGTGATTCGATTCACCTGTCTCGTGACAGGGACCAGTGGCGGGCTCTTGTGTTAAAATTGTGAATGCTCCGTAAATACAAAAAGTCGGAAATTTCTTGAATACCCGAGAACTATTATTAACTTCTCAAGTTTGTTTTTACTAAGACATCACGTTATTCGCAGAAAAAATTAATTCCTGGTGTCATCTGCGACTCTAAATGCGACTGCTATCAAATTATGTGCGTTGAAGCTTTCAAGCTGTAATCTGCTTACTACAGAAGAGATGTCTGTTGGATAATATAATTCCTTTGTCTTCTGGGTTGTTGCGCCGTGTAGCCTGGTAGTAGTTTACCTATGTTTCGGTGGTACTTACTGCCTACATCATCAGGGCGATGACTCATCGTCTGGTGAACTTCTATACCAGAAGACAGCCGTTCTCGGATCCGCCGCCATGAAAACCTAAAATCCTGCGTGATTTTAGAAATGTTAATTTTATTATTTACGATAAATCAAGGCGTTCTTAATACCAGAGACACCGGTCGCCTTCCAGATCCTGGTCCGACATGTTTCTCTGTCTGTACGCAAGCAGAACCGGTTGGTTTACGTCAGAAGTCGGACATCACGTGCCGTTAGCTGTCTTCACAGCCCCGAGTGCCTTTCCAATGGTCCGGCTACTCCCGCTATAAAACAATTCATTATGTAGTGGGCTACTCAAGTGTTTCTGGAGGCGGACATATCTGCTGTGACATTAATACTTTGAGGGCTCATTCACTGAGTTCGGTTCTCGGGTTTGTGGATGGAGGTAACGAATGGGTAGGACAGCCGACAAGGGGTGATCAGAGTTAAAACTTTGCAGTCCCGCTTATGCAATCTTAGATTTATCGTGATTCTACTCAGACAGATTCTGGTGCTCCACGATATTTTCCTTCCACGTATTTTGTAATTCATCAGTTAATTAGCGCGTCGTTAAACAAGATATTCCAAACGTGGTTCTGTACTACGAGGCTAAAACCAAAAAGAACATTTTGGAATAGTCGTAGTAGGACACTTCAGTCATGTCTTTATGTGTACGTCAGTCTGTTGGAGAGACAAATTTTTATTTTCGATTACGAAGGTCCCTAGGCAGTGTCCGCTCGTCCTCCTGTAAGAGATAGCTTTAGGAAAGGTGAACAGTTTTGTATTTTGATATTAGCCTCGGAAGGGCGATTTATATGTTGATATTGGGGGTGCCTTCTTCAGGGCGCTGGCCCTCAGGACAGTGCCGCCTCCTTCCTAAACCCCCATGGTTTTCCCAAATGGATAATATGGATCTTTACGAAGGTCTTGCACCGATAACTATGCTAACGACGAACTGAATACAGAAAGAAAGATTAAATAAGTGTCTAACCGTACGGAGTAGCTGTTCAGTATTCGAATTTAGAAGACGTGTTTCTTGTTTTTTGGTAAGTTTATAATATTTAAATAGGTTACCGTCTCTTCCCGAAGACATTTTGGTTATCGAGATATCCGTTCTCCATCGCCATAAATACAAGAGAAAGGCGAACGTGGGCCCTCGTAAACACAGAGGGACTTAGTGACCCACATGGACAAATGTAAGCATGACTGTCACTTTGGTTAAGCGTCCGGCTGTGAGTTCCTGCAAAGTTGCTTAATCGGTGAGTCCTCGACTGTTAACCCTTTGAAGCCGAAGATCGTCTGAATATTATTTATGAATTCAGTCCGTACCGCGAAGAAAACACTTCACCTCACCATTACGAAAATCAGCTGGTTAACCCTTTGAAGCCGAAGCTCGTCTTCATAATATTTACGAATCCAGACCGTACCGCGAAGAAAACACTTCACTTAACCATTACGAAAATCAACTGGTTAGTTGTCACGAGTACAAAATATTGCGTCGTACCTAAGAATCCAGATGAATTAATCTGTTCACCTGTATTTTCTGCACAAAAGAATAAATACAGATCAAAATCTGGTTGCTACAGCTCAGCCGATGGTCCACAGACGTAGTGGTTCGACGACCCACGTCACGTGACAGCGCAGTGTGTGTGTGTGTGTGTGTGTGTGGGGGGGGGGGGGTTTCAGAACGTTTGTAATGGTGCGTAATTAGTAACACAGAACGCGCTGTACGAGTGTTGCCTTGGCCTCGACCGTGCGGGTGTTGAGATCGCGCGCGCCGATCCACCTTCACTTTGGTTAGGTGCTTCCGATCTCGTGAGATAAGTTCCCTACAAGCGAAAGTAAACTTAGAATTGCACGCTGTCTTGGTTATATTTGCAGTTTCAATATTTCTGTTTCTACCAAGACACAGCCCGGATAGCTCATTGATAACACTGACAGTCTGCGAACCCATCCAAAAGTTTACTAAAGACGGAGTTTTGCGCAGGACTTAGGCCCTTGTTAGGTTAAACCGTTCCTGCGAAACTCACAGCTGCCACTGGAGATGGACTTTGTAACGAAATCACGGCATGTAGAATTCTCGTTCTTGCGTCAATCACATTGAAGGTTATAGTCGGCAAACCTGAACAGAAAATACCTGAAGTGAATGTTTTTAAATATATTCCAGTAGCGGTGTTCTAAGAACCTCGTAATGAACCATCATATTTCGTGATAGGCGAAAAATATCTTTTCCGGTTGAGCAGTGATGAGATTTTGAAAGGCTTGTGGTTATTTGGTTGTACTCGGAATTTGGCGTCGCTCTTAATTTCGCGAAGGCACTGTTAGCGATTGATTACGAGTCCGTAACGCAGGACAAACACTTTTTATGACCTGCGCTGTAAGTCGTAAATATTCTGTGTCTATTCATCTGTTGAACATGGAACGCTGACATCCTTCTGCGCATGCTCAGAAGAAAGCCACGGATATGTAAACCATTGATTCACAACGCAAATGTACGCGTCGCACGAAACACTTGTTTGGTCTTACGTGGATTTCACTGTTACAAGTTACAAGCAACTTTATGACTGTCAATCAATCAGTCAAGTCACTTTTAACATAAAGACACTGCATTCCTCTGATTCCTTGAACAAAGAAGCCATAGCTGGATAGGAGGTATTACAATCTTTTGTTTATTTATTCGACATTCGAAATCCACTCGCAAAATATCTGGGGCTCTGAATGCGTCTTGGGTGGGGGTTTGGGCTAAAGTGTGTCTTTTCCTTTGTAATTTTGATAGTACAAAAGTAAAGTTTGTTCCACTATACTCCATGTAGGCGCTTGGGGGGAGAGAGGTACAGCTCCTATTAATTCTTAACCTCGACACTAGATGGGGTGAGTGGTCAGCGTCACGCCCCGGCCGAGCTTTGCCCCTGGGAAAGGACCCCGGTACCCATTGGACAGAGGCTGGGTGGGCCCCAAAGCTGGTCTGAACGCAGAAGCTAGAGGAGAATATCCTCTGCCCCCTTCGGGGATCGAACCCCGGTCGTCAAGTCTGTAGGCAGTCTCTACCCTGATTTATATATTTAAAAATTGTTCTGGAGGATCTGTTAAATGCCTCTTAACGGTGTTAAGTCGAAAGCAAAGTGACTCAATTTCATATTGAATTTACGAGGACGTGGAAAGTGAGATTGTACGCAAATTGTGTAGCCTCTGGCCTGTTTTGAAACTTTACCAACTCGTACGGAGCAGTGTCCTTCCTTCGAAAGCTGACAGTCGCACATGTGGCCATTATTTACGTCCGTTAACTCACGCGTGGTGGATGTGTTAACGTATTCCTAGAATCCACACAGGTCGTAGTAGCCTCGCTGGGTTCTCAAGAAATTTCGAGAATTTTATCTAAACTGAAGGTTCATTACCGTATGCATAAAAGTCATTCAATGAATAATATCGTGAGCCAGTTGAAACCAGTTCGGAAGATGGCTCAAGGCACCGCTGACATCCCGTGGCCCGTCTACGTAGACGGGCTCGGAGGATTGCTATCAGCGTCTCCTAAGAACCCGCGAGACGAAATCATGATCGATGTCGTCTTCATATGACGATCCGCGTCAGACAAGTGTCGACTTTGTTCCATTAACTGAATGTGCACGTATAAAGTAGCTCTGAAAATGTCTGCAGGCAAGGAAGATGAATCGACGCTTTCCATTCTGGTTTTTTTTAAATTTCTGTTGTTGAAAAGGCAAGAATAGGTTTTTCGCTATAACTTTTCGGAAATTTTCCGGGTATTTTTCTTTAACAGAACAGAACAAAAATTATTATTTAGACATACAATTAAAAAGGCTTGTATTATACATCCGTTTATTTGAGACAAATCTTAAAGATCAATAACATCCTAATCCTTTTTAACTCTTTACGTGGAATTTCGTATAATTGGGCCAGTGTTCTGGTGATGTTGTGTCCCAATTAACCGGAATCCACTGTATACAGAATTTCAATTTAAGGTCCTTGAAAATCATTGAAGATACCCTATTCTTAGAGACCTCAAATAATGATTGGTAAGTGACCTTTTCTCCGACGTGAACGTAATGCGGATTAGAATCCAGTCCGTAGTGGTTATG